ATATATATTAAACACAGCGTAGTATGTTTGAGCCAATATTGTCATTAAAATGGCTTAACAGAGCCGCAGGATGCAACGATTCTGTTGACCGTCTGGGTGGTGATGAATTGTTATCTTTTCTGCAACATCACCCAGGCTGTTTTGTATAGTGGTCTAACGCGTGCGGACACACCCTTCNTTTCGATCGGTAATCACCTTTCTGGATTTAACATTGTTCATTTGAATACAAGGCTCACCAATGTAAATGAAAGCCGTGGCAATCAACCCGTCCTGGATGTAAAAAGCCATGGCTAACTGACCGAAATATGATGTTCATCAAAACATTTCCCCAGCTTCGCCAGCAATCGTGTCAAACTCCAGATAACCTCGCGGATGAATGGTAGAACTGAATGAAACTTGCTATGCGAACAGCTATCGGAGTTGATTCATCAATAAGTACATTACTGAAGGTTCGACAGAAGAGCAACAGACATTCGCACCGAAATGTAAGGTTGTTCTACATCTTTCCTTCAAGGTGAGTAAGCTGTTAGAGCTTCGTCTAAACTCATTCATCAAAAGAGCATACAATACAGACTACGTCTGCACATGCGACATAATATCGGCACCTTCATTCAGCTAACTATGTTTGCAGTATTCCAAATCTCATAGGTCACTTTCCTGGGAATAACCACACAGCTATTTGGACAAAGATTAGCCGAACACATTCCTCTTCCTCGTTAACGAACTGGAGAATGAACCACATTCGTAAAATCTAAGAGACCGGGCATCAAGTAAACGGGACCCATAGTGTCTAAAAGTGTTTTATGTGTGAAACTCGTTTGTTCCAGCTTGCCGAGGCGATCACCATCAAAAGATGGAAACCTGAGCTGTGCAAACAAAAGGTGTTATTTACAGTTCTTGTTCAATCTTGGTACAAATTTTAACAATTTTAACAGCAACAACTAACTCACCAACCGTAACTGTAACTTATTGGTCACTATTTTTTGGCTGTAGTATGTATCTGATGAGACACCGGGAAATTTTCCGAGATATAGATTATTAAGCACTGTGCTACTCTGCTTCATACACAAGTTCTTTTTAGAAAATGAATGATGCAATCAGATGTAAATCGATCAGGTGGGAAAATAGGGAAAAATTCTTTCATAAGGATATTCTGTTCCGCTGCAGTTAAACGCATTTCACAAGTGGCAGGTTAGCGGCCTTCTAAAGAATGAAGCCCACAATCAAACTGCATTAAGAGACAGTGTCGGGCGCCTGCAAAAACTTTAATGAGCTCACCAAAACCTAAAATTCTAAATTCAAAGGTTTATCTTTATTCAACATTAAAACATACGGATGGGGTTGGCGAGATAATTTCACACGCACTTGGCTCAGTGCTGGGGTTTGCGTAGGTCGCGTAAGGGCAATGCGATCGATAGACTCAATCCTGCGTATGACTCATTCACGTGACAACCTCACATGGTCAAACTGCGCT